GTTTTGGCTTTGAACCGGTGGCTGCTCCAAAAATGACTCAAATAGCCCCAAAAAAACCCTCGACCGAAAGGAGGGAGGAGAAATGAAACAAGTTTTTACAGTAAACAGAATTTCAAGGTTTTTGGGGGTTTGGGGCCAAAAGGTGAAATTTGAGGTCCTCTGGCACGTAGGGGAGGCGAAGGGTTGGGGCGACAAAATGGGGATAAATCAGGGAGTTTTGGGGGTGATGCAGAAAATGGGGTTATTTCATGGGAAAATGGGGTTTTTTTGAAGCTTGATGGGAATTTGGGGGGGATGAACGAAGGTGAAATGGGCTGATTTCGTGGGAAAAGGGGGTTTTCACCGCTTGGTGCGAATTGGTGTGATGAATCAATGTGAAATGGGCTGATTTCAAGGGAAAATGGGGGTTTTGGCAGCTTGCTGGGGATTTGGGTGATGAACCAGCACAAAATGGGCTGATTTCAAGGGAAAATGGGGGTTTCTTGCAGCTTGGTGGAACTGGGGTAATGGAGCAGCACAAAATGGCTGATTTCAAGGGAAAACGTTTTTTTTTGGCAGCTTGATGGGGATTTGGGGTGATGAACCAACACAAAAGGGGCTGATTTCGAGTGAAAATGGAGTCTTCTTGCAGCTTGATGGGAATTGGGGTGATGGAGCAGCACAAAATGGCTGATTTCAAGGGAAAACGTTTTTTTTTGGCAGCTTGATGGGGATTTGGGGTGATGGACCAACACAAAAGGGGCTGATTTCAAGTGAAAATGGAGTCTTCTTGCAGCTTGATGGGAATTGGGGTGATGGAGCAGCGCAAAATGGGCTGATTTCAAGGGAAAATGGGGGGTTTTTTGCAGCCTGATGGGGATTTGGGGTGATAAACCAACGTAAAGCACATTCATTCCAAGGGAAAATGGGGGGGTTTTGGTAGATTGATGGGAACTGAGGTGACGAACCAGCACAAAATGGGCTGATGTCGGCAGAAAATGCTGGTTTTTTGCAGCCTGATGGGAATCGGGGTGCGACGCGCCGATGAAACGGGCTGATTTCCCGGGAAAATGTTTTTTTTTTTTTCCAGGCACTGGAAATGGCCTGAAGTTCATTTTATTCCTTAAATCTTCCCCAAAAAAGCCGCTGAACCACCGCGGCTGTGGGGGGAAGGGAGGGGACAACCCAAGGCCGTGGGTCTTCACCCCCCCTCGTGGCTGTCACATGACCTGGGGGAGACAACGAGGCTTAATTAATCGGCCTTGATGACTCATCGAGGAGCCGCTCGCCCGCGCCGTTACCTTGAAGAGGGTGACGCCGGTGCTGTAGCAGAGGCTGAGGAAGAAGAGGACGATGAAGGTCACGGCCGTCCAGAGGTCGACGGTGTCTTCCTCCGCCCCCGGCAACATCTCCTCGCCCACCATCACCACGACGCCATCTGGGGAGGGAAGGAGGGGGTGGGGGAGGAGAGGAGGTGGTCAGTGCGGGGGGCTGGGGGTGGAGATCCCCTTCACGGCCCAACACCAAAAGGATTTGTGGCACGAGCGGCGAAAAAACCCTTTTTCACCCATTTTCTACCCAATCCGCGCCCAAAAACCTCCTACAAACAGAAAGGTGCAGGGGTTTTCGGTGCGCACGGCAAAAAAAAACCCATTTTTACCCATTTTCACCCATGTTCTACCCAATCCTCACACAAAATTCTCCTGAAAGCAGAAGGGCTGTGACGATTTTTGGGGTGCACAGCCAAAAAACCGCTTTTTCACCTATTTTCCACCCATTTCTCACCCAAAATTCTCCTAAAAGCCAAAGGGCCAAGAGGATTTTTGGTGCAAGCAGCAAAAAAAACCCTTTTCACCCATTTTCTACCCAATCTTTGTCCAAAAATCTCCTACAAGGAAAGCAGCCAAGAGGATTTTTGGTGCGTTCAGCAAAAAAAACCCCGTTTTCACCTGTTTTTTACCCAATCCTCACCCAAAAACCTCCTACAAACAGAAGGGTGCAGGATTTTTTGGTGCATGCAGCAAAAAAACTCATTTTTACCCATTTTCACCCATTCTTCATCCAATCCTGGCCCAAAATTCTCCTACAAGTAGAAGGGCTACGAGGATTTTTGGTGCAAGCAGCAGAAAAATCCCATTTTCACCCATTTTCTACCCAATTCTTCCCTGAAATCCTGCTGCAAAGCAAAGTGGTGCAGGCTTTTTAGTGTACACAGCCAAAAAAACCCATTTTCTACCCAAATCTCATCCAAAATTGTCCTACAAGCAGAAAAGCCAGGAGGATTTTTGGTGCAAGCAGCAAAATACCCGTTTTCACCCATTTTCCACCCAATCCTTGCGCAAAAACTTGCTGTAAGAAAATGGCGCCCAGGATTTTTTGGTGCAAGCAGCAAAAAAAACCCCATTTTCACCCATTTTCTACCCAAAACTCTTCTAAAAGCAAAAGGTCCACAAGGATCTTTAGTACATGCAGCCAGAAAACCCCATTTTCACCTGTTTTCTACCCAGTCCTCACCCAAAACCCTCCCACAAGCCAAGCGGCCATGATGATTTTTGGTGCGTGCAGCCAAAAGTCCTTTTCCCGGCCGTTTTTCACCCAAACACCCCACACCCCGTGGAGAACCCTCATTGCTTCTCCTCGAACCTCCTCGTTGGGTGAGTTTGCTTGATTCTTGGGGCAAAGCCTGCTGTTTTGGGGGGATTTGCCTGCTTTTGGAGGACGAGGAGGTCTCCTGCCCCACCGCCTCCCCACCCTTCACCTTCTCAAGGTGAAGCCACCTCAGACCATCACCCAACGGAGCAAGGGTGACTTCCCACCACCCCCTGCTCAAGCCAGGAGTTGAAGACGACCCCAACCATGACCATCCCACCCGTCGGCGCTGAAGACCACGCATTGGCGCTGAAGACCACCCAACCGTTGGTGCTGAAGACCACCCAACCGCTGGTGCTGAAGACCACCCATTGGTGCTGAAGACCACCCAAACATTGGCGCTGAAGACCACCCAACCATTGGCACTGAAGACCACCCAACCCATTGGCGCTGAGGACTACCCGTTGACGCTGAAGACCACCCCCCACCCATTGCATCACGATACAGGTGGATATTTTTGGGCTGGGGGAGGGGTTTTTTTTGGGTCTTTTTTTTTTTTATTCGGATGCGGAATTACAGCCCCCGCGTGTCCCCACCCCACCCCACCCCACCCTGGTCAAGCTCAGTAGCAGGTGACGTCAGAGTCGGCGAGGATGACCGAGACGTTGACGGTGGTGGGTTTACCGAGGTTCTTGTCCAAAGTCTTCTGCACGAAGTGGAGCGGGATGCCGTCATGGCCGACCACGCAAGCGAAGGAGTCGCCGCGTTGCCAATCGCTCGCCGGCACGGTCAACATGCTGTAGAGCGTGAAGGCGTCTCCATCGGCTTGAGGTCCGAAGGTGGAGATGCTGCTGGGGGACACGGGGCGGTCTTCTTGGGTCCAGGTGACCAAGATGTCCCTGGGGCGGAAGCCCAAGGCCAGGCAGGTCAAGGTGGCCATTTCCTGCTGGGCCAACTCCTCAGCCGATGGAGGGAAGACGTAGACGGACGGTGCCTTCACCGAGACGGCTGTGGGCGCAAGAGAAGGTCAAGGGTGGTGGGAGGTCCTCCCGGTTAGGCAGAGCCTTCCAGTTAGACTGGCTGCTTCTGGTAGACCAGCCCGCTGGGCTTGCCCAGTTGGCTAGACCCTTCCAGTTGGCTAGGCCCTTCCAGTAGGCCAGCCCAGATGGCTCACCCAGTTGGCTAGACCCTTCCAGTTGGCTAGACCCTTCCAGTAGGCCCGCCCCGTTGGCTCTTCCAGGTG